TGTCAACATAGCCCAGTATATTTAATAAGTGGCTAGTCTTACCTGTCAACATAGCCCAGTATATTTAATAAGTGGCTAGTCTTACCTGTCAACATAGCCCAGTATATTTAATAAGTGGTAGTCTTACCTGTCTACGTAGCCCAGTATATTTAATAATTGGCTAGTCTTACCTGTCTACGTAGTCCAGTATATTTAATAAGTGGCTAGTCTTACCTGTCTACGTAGTCCAATATATTTAATAAGTGGCTAGTCTAATTGTCTACGTAGCCCAGTGTATTCAATAAGTAGCTAATCTGACGTGTCTACGTAGTCCAGTATATTCAATAAGTAGCTAGTCTTACCTGTCTACGTAGTCCAGTATATTCAATAAGTGGCTAGTCTTACGTGTCTACGTAGCCCAGTATATTTAATAATTGGCTAGTCTTACCTGTCTACGTAGTCCAGTATATTCAATAAGTGGCTAGTCTTACCTGTCTACGAAGTTCATTACTATTACTTATTGACTGGACTTGTCTTCGTAAGTCCAGAATTAAAAGTCGGTTACTCTTACCTGTCAACGTAGTCCAGTATATTCAATAAGTAGCTAGTCTTACCTGTCTACGTAGTCCAGTATATTCAATAAGTGGCTAGTCTTACCTGTCTACGTAGTCCAGTATATTCAGTAAGTAGCTAGTCTTACCTGTCAACGTAATCTCCAAGGAATAGATAATTAGCATCAGGAGGATAGCCTATTTTTTCAAAGTGCCGCAAGAGGTCGCCATATTGCCCATGTATGTCTCCTACGATGTTCACCGGGGCTTCCAGCTCAACCAACATAGGTTGATTAAGAAACAATTCTCGGGATGCGTGACACAGTTGACGAATTTGATATTCCGGCAGTTGAACCTATAGGAGTAGAAGTAATGTATTAACGGGATGCGTGACACAGTTGAACCTATAGGAGTAGGAGTAATGTATTAACGGGATGCGTGACACAGTTGACGAATTTGATATTCCGGCAGTTGAACCTATAGGAGTAGGAGTAATGTATTAACGGGATGCGTGACACAGTTGAACCTATAGGAGTAGGAGTAATGTATTAACGGGATGCGTGACACAGTTGAACCTATAGGAGTAGGAGTAATGTATTAACGGGATGCGTGACACAGTTAAACCTATAGGAGTAGGAGTAATGTATTAACGGGACACGTGACACGGTTAAACCTATAGGAGTAGGATTAATGTATTAACGGGATGCGTGACACAGTTAAACCTATAGGAGTAGGATTAATGTATTAACGGGACACGTGACACAGTTGAACCTATAGGAGTAGAAGTAATGTATTAACGGGACACGTGACACAGTTGAACCTATAGGAGTAGAAGTAATGTATTAACGGGACACGTGACACAGTTGAACCTATAGAAGTAGAAGTAATGTATTAACGGGATGCGTGACACAGTTGAACCTATAGGAGTAGGAGTAATGTATTAACGGGATGCGTGACACAGTTGAACCTATAGGTGTAGGAGTAATGTAATAAGGGGACACGTGACACAGTTGAACACTGACCACTTACTGCTGGCGTTACTACTAGTACTTATAATTTTATCTTATTGGTTTATCATATGAAACTGAACAGAACGTCGGACTCTTTTCGTAAGAATAACAAACTGAGAATCCAAAATAATCTTTCAAGGTTCATAATATATGAAGTAAACTATATTAAATACCCCCCCCCCAACACACAGTAGCATATCCTTAATATTGCACCATAATAAGTAGTTTGATCTTTGTTCATCCTTATACAACGTTACGTGTTTTTCAGCGAATTCTTGAAGTCTACTCTCTACTTTCCTATATCCCGGACTTCATTATTTTATGAAGCCCCCCTCATCTTCAACGCCTTCTTTACTTTGTGTAACAAAGGTTGGTAGTGAAAGGGCACACCTTGCACTCACTGTATTGTCGAGCGCTAATGATTCGACAGCCCACAGAAGTCGAAACACAATAAACGAATTTTAAACACTCGGAGCTGTATCACAACTAGAAGTAACTAGTGAGGTTTTGTAAATTAATGAAACATAGGTATTTGTGAAAATATTTGTAGCCCTAGTGTTACCTAAACCTATACGTTCACTATGAAATTGTGCCCTTAACAGTTACGATTGTGCAATTTGATACGTAGAGTCAGTTAAGTTGAGGTAGGTTTTATTTTTCTTTTAAACTTTGAATAATGCTTCGTTTTACATAAAAACAGTGATGAATAACATTTAATACTAGGCTGGGAGCTACAGAAAACAAACCAATAGCTATGTTTGTTTGTTTGCAGTTAAGCACAAAGCTACACAATGGGTTATCTGTGCTCTGCCCACTACTGGTATCGAAACCTGGTTTCTAGCGTTGTAAGTCCTTAGACATACCGCTGGGCCACTGTGGGTAAAAATACAACTATATAAACTATATAAACCTATGAACAATTTGAAACAATAATAACAATAAATCCAATGGCTTGTTTAGAAAATTACAGGATAATATCAATAATAACAATAAATCCAATGGCTTGTTTAGAAAATTACAGGATAATATCAATAATAACAATAAATCCAATGGCTTGTTTAGAAAATTACAGGATAATATCAATAATAACAATAAATCCAATGGCTTGTTTAGAAAATTACAGGATAATATCAATAATAACAATAAATCCAATGGCTTGTTTGAGAGTTTGAATAGATATTCAGCAAAAAAAAACATAATATTAGACATCTATTCTTAATGTAGGG